GTTTCCCATCACCAAATCACCCCTGTGCCACCACCATAGTCCCGTGCATTTCCCTCCCTTCCCCCCCCATTTTTGATCCCATCCCCCACTCCGCCCCCACAGAATGTCTCCCTCAGAGTAGTTTTTAAGGGAGAACCCCAGGTCCCACCCCACACTGGGCAAACCTCCATCTTATAGATGGGGAAGCTGAGGCTCTCAGAGGGAAGATCTTCTCCAAAATCACACAGTGAGTCCAGTGTCTGAGGCAGACTGGAGCCCAAGCTCTTCCTACTCCTCCACAGAGAGGTGCTGCAATTGTTACCTTGAGCTGGCTGGCTCCGAGACCCACAAGGATCTGGCAGTCAGTTCCTGGGACCCAGTCAGTTGTAAGATAATCAGGGCCCTGAACCTTCTAAGCCCAGAGACTTCCAGAATCACCTGGCTCAAATTCTCCCCCTTCTTTGCCATAGACCCTCCTTGCCTGTAGGAGCTTGCTGGAGCCCACTCCTGGAGCTCAGGGCACTTTAGTGATGTCCTGAGACTGAGCAGCTCCCTTGGAAGTGTCTCAGCTTCGACCAGCATCTTGTCAGTGACTTTATCCCCAGCCTGCTGACTAACATCTTTATCTTCAGAACCTCATAACAGCTATAAGAGATAGCTTCATTTTGCAGATGAGGAAACTGAGGCTGAGAGAAGCAGTTCTAGTTAGGGTGAAATCACTAACTTCAGTGTCCGGGACAGTCAAGGATTCTCTTCTACCCTAGACAACTCCTTCTGGGCAAATCTCTTCTTGAAGACAATTTCAGGCAAATGTTAAACCATCCCCACATTCCTCCTACGCCTCCCCTTTTCTTGGCCTTCTCACATCCCCTGAGGGCCACAGTCATCTCGAGGTTCAGGGCCCAGCCCCCTTGGCTGTTCAGCTGGAGAACTGTGGGTGCAACAATATGTCTTTGATGCCCACTCACATAAAGTCAGTGCTACAGGAAACTGAGAACACTGTTTGCAAACAGAGACCGCTCACTCAGCAGGGGCCCCGACTCCCTAGAAATGCTGGAGGTAGAGAGGGTAAAGACAGCTTCACCCCCACAGCACGCACTACACTCAGTTGTCCCATGGAGAAGCCCATCAGCATGTCATGTTGCAGGTGCTACCGGCCCAGGAATCCGGGGTTGTCCCAGGAGGATTGTGTGTGCCTGGGCCCAGGGCCACCTCCCTGGTTGTGCATCTGTGAAATGAGGCCAGGAGGTGGGAGCCAGGGAAGGTGTAGGAAACTGCAGGGTGAGTGGCGAAGTGCTGACACAGGCTTCTTCCCATGGGGACAAACCTTATAGATTTGGAAGGGAAGTCTCTACCTGCCCCATTCCTGGTGGTCTTGACTGATGAGGCTCTTTCCTGACTGGTAGGGAAAATAGTCAGGTAGGCCCTGCCTGGGAGGTAGCTCTGGGATTACAGGAGGAGAGTGGAGCTGCTGCTGGCCTCTGTGTCTACTCTAAGACACTTCAATGACCACAAGTGTTCTCCCAGCTGGTTGCCTTCCCGTAACAGGGCCCTCATGCTTCAGTCTGTTCCTCTGACTTCTGGGGCCCTGCATATCTGTCCTTCTCTCCCACCTTCAGTGCCAGTGTATTCCAGGGTTCTGAGTAGGCCCACAATGACTCTGTTGCAGTAAAATATTTCAATGTCACCCAGTGGGTCTCAAGCCAAACACCAGCATGCCTCCTTGGATTCTTCCGCCTGCTAACCTTCTGTGTCCTTCCCCCAAGTAACAGCCCCCACTGTTTCTGGAAAATGATACTGCTCCAATCTCAGGTCCTTATGGTATAGGTGGAGCCAACTCTATCCCAGAACTGCAGGGTGCACACATGACCCAAGCCTGGCCAATCAAAGTCCTGTATCCTTAAGTCTGGGTTGACTCAGAGATGGAGACAGGATCCTTGCTGGTTAGTGAGTGGGTGTTGGCTCTGGGGTGATGGCTGAACTCCGGGGTAAGAGGGACCCTTCTTTCTATCAGGACTCCTGTGCTTGGCAAGTGTCAGCCTGGAGTCCTTTGTTAAGATCTTTCCTGATTTCTTACATATGTGAGGCAAGTCTTCCTGCTTAAGTTTCATTTGGGTTTCTGTCTCTTTCAACAAGAACCCTACTATGGCTGTGTGTGTGTGGGGTCCCACCTGTGGCCTCACCTCTGTGATGCCCAGTGACTGACTTCCAACTGTTAGCATCTGCAGCTCTGCAGGGGGCTATCTTTAGCAGCTGAACCCTGCTACATTCATATATGACCAGCAGTAACTGCCAGAGAATTAGTGACCCCCTGACCTGACAGCAGCTCTCAACCAGCATCTGTTCCTGTTGGTAGGTTGGTGTATAAATATCCCAGCTCCTCAAGCCTTCAGCTGTTCAGAGGGACTGAGCACCAGTTGCTGGCAGGGGTCACTTGTTTGATAACACCCTCTTGTCAGCTGGCCTCTGTTGCCTACCTTACCTCCCCACACCTACACCCACACCTACACCATATTTCTTGCTCTCAGATGGAGTACTTGTGCTTGAATTCTTGTCTTGGGTGTGCTTCTGGGGAACCCCAACTATGATAGCTACTAAGTCGAGGGGATTCTGCATCTGTTTGGTCTCTCCTATGTATCCTCTGTCT